CATTTTAAAGCCTTACATTGTCTCTCTGCATTGGCTTCTCTAGATAGGTCCTTTAATCTTTCTTAAAGGCCTTATTTTTCAAAGCTTTAATCATGTGGAAGGAAAAGACAAGTTGCCACCCCTCCCCATCTCCTGGATATGGGTACCAAAAACTCTCACGTTCTGTGCCTTCTGTTTCTGCACCCATCTATTGCCTTCCCACTTTAAACTGAAGTATTGCAGTTGACATATACCTTTTTGAAAACCCAGCAATAGCAAAACATAGCTACGAAAACATTTCAAAGTACGATGTGCATTGCACAGATACACCAAAATTCTATTTCCTTTGTATTACCCTGGTTCCATTCGGGGTCCTACTTTGTGGGGGAAATATGAGTCTTGATTATCCCTTTTCACCAAAATAACATTGACTCAGGCAGGAATATTAACTCAGGTAAGCAAAATGACTCTTGCTTTCATCTCAGCAATTCCACACCTACTCACCTTTCAATTGACTTTTAACAGAATTTTAGTTTGCATTTTTTTAAAAAAAAAATCTATTTAATTGCATTGGAAAAGCACTTGGCTGTCGTGCTCCGGGCCCCTACCATGTGATGCAGCTGCTCCTATTTAAGGGATAATTGTAGTCTCACTCTTCTACAAGGAACTAATTCTGATTTTGAAAGGATTTGTCCTCACTGTTGTCCTGATGAGAGAGAACTGGATCACCGCAGTGTAAAAGAGCTGAATAGTCCCTATTACCGTTATTATGCTTCAAATGTTGGATATTGTTGAAGATCAAAGTACTGTACCACACTCAATGGCGAGATGAACACGCATGGCACACTTCCCATATTATGTAAGAAATACTGCATTTTATGAGTCATTTAGTGCCATGTGAGGTATCTGCGCACCCCATAGCATTGCCTTCAAACTTTCCTCATCATTCTGAAATCCTTTATTTTCTGGTTGAAAGACTTACAATCTAGTCATTTCTCACTCGCCTCCCCAGGAAATAAACTTCACTGCATTCTGTTCCTCCACTCTAAGATAGTACTTACTGCACATCATTCTAGTTTACATTTAAATTACTTTAGAAAAAAAAAAAAACGTTAAATAACCCTGGACAGCCGCGAGTTCTAACCAGTAAATTGAGAAATTGTAAAGGTTCCCATCAAAACCATTAATGACGCTTTTGAAATCTTTAAAATGTGGAGCGCTGAGTGTTGATTAAGATTCTAATGAAACAAACGCAGAACGTCTCCCATATTGCCGTTGGGAAGGCAACTCTGAGCACACCTGTATTAACAGCGTGCTTTGCAATACAAGGAGTCATATGACCAAGTGCGAAAATATCCAGATCTAGTCTAAGACATAGTAGGTGTTTTACAAGTCAAAATATTGGTCTTAAGACACTAACATTAGCAAGGGAGGCCTAGTGTATGGACACACATTTCCTCTCAGAGTACATGAAGCTCTTAATCCCAGCAACCAACTGTAACCCGGAGGAACACATTAGAGTTCATGAATGCTTACTTAGACCAGAAAATGCTGAGGCTCCATCTCTAAGTGGCCAGGGCAAATGAAGTTACCCTGTAGCGGTAATCCTTGGTGGCAGGTGGCAGGTGGCATCTGACGAGGACCCAGGACAGCCTTGCAGGTCTAGTAACCTTTCTTGTTCTTGTCATTTCCTATGTACTCATTTAGGCAACAGACCAGTGGTTTCCATCTTACCTGAAGACTGAAGCCAGAGGAGAACTTTAAGCCAATCCTTAGGCCAGGTCCATCTCTGCATGAAGGGACTCAGCATTTGTGGGGCTGGTGGCCAAGCATGAGCGTGGTTGAAAGCTATAAGATGACTTCACAGACAAAACAATTTGGAAAAGACGATTCTAAACTGTAGCTCATCTGGAGCAGGACCCATTTGCAACCACTTGTGCTTTGTCTTACATTATAATTTTATTTGTTTACTTATTTTATTTGAGACAGCGACTCTTGTATCCCAGGCCAGCCTCCAACTTTCTGTGTGGCTAAGAATGACCCTGGACTTTTTGATCCCTTTGTCCCACCTCGTTCTTTTTCCTTACTTAATTTTAACTAGTGTACACACAGTATTAAATTTCATTGTGACATCTTCAGACAAAGTTGCTTGTGTTGATTTTTTCCACCTCCGCCCCTCCCTCCGTGTACCCTTGTGCTGTACCTACCTACTTACCCTGTTTTCCATTTCCCCGTCTCCCATGTTCTATTGCTCTCCCTGCTTCCTCCTTAGTCCCATCTCCTTCCTAGTTTAATAAATTGTGGGCATGTTCACTCTGGCTTTTATCCATGTAAATGATTATTGTAAGCTAGGGACTATATAACAGAAAACGTGATTTTTGCCTTTTTGAGTTAACTCACCTTCTAGCTCCATCTATTTTCCTGAAAATTTGTGGATTTCATTTTTCTTGACTACATAGAATTCAAATGTGTGTAACGTATGTGTGTATATGTGTATATCACGCTTTCATTATCCATTCATCAGCTGACGAATGCCTAAGCAAGTCTCCAGTTTTAAATACTGTTTTGTTTTGTCTGTTTTTTTTTTTTTTTCCCAAAGTCATATACAGCTTTGTATGTCTCTCTGTCTTTGCTTAGTACTATACAAATAAATGGCTGGAGAAATAAGTGAGAAACTTAGCATGCTAGGAAGAGAACTTTTAAAGTAATATATACTCCAAGGTGGAGCTATTCAAATTTCCCTCTAGGGGTGCAGACTATCATCATTCGGTCCATTGTAGACCTTATGTAGGATGCTCTAAAGCTGTGGGTGTTTTTAATTATTATATCAACATGACTATGCTCTGATATTTAAATCTCTAATGATGAAGGTGCTTTCTTCCCAATAGCTCAAATTCCTTACTTTGCAAAGTTGAAGCAACCCACTGTGACTCCATCAACTTCTTGCTGATTGTTTGCAATTCCCTAGCATTGGAATTTTCTCTAAGGGCCCTGGAAGGAAGTGGGTATGACACACCCAATAGGTTCCAGGTATCAGGACCCTCACAGTAATGCCACTCCAGCAGTAAACCTGTTTCTCTGGTGCTCACAGGGCCAAGCAGAAGCTGATTATGAACCCTAAGAAAGTTCGTAAAGCTCCAACATTATATGATGTTATTTGGTGTTAATAAATATCTGTTGGTGGCAGAAAGTTAAGCTGAAATACCTTTCATTTAACTAAAAACTTTTATTATCCTGGGAGGACACACACACATTTCAATATCTACAAATAAATTATAAAGTCAGTGTTATGAACCACAAAACGTGGCCGTAAATTTTATTATAAAGATCTTTATTACAGAAAAGATCACACTTTCTGCCTGCACTTTGGGACTCAAAGGATTTAAATGCAGAGTGAAATCCTTCCTGTCTTCTCTTTCTCATTTTAAGTCCCTTGCATTATTCTGGAGATAAGAAGCTATGTTCTTGTTAGTTGTTAAAGGAAAACAAAGACTCACCAGAAAGAGGACGCATGGGGGGGGGGGGCAATGTCTAAGGAGAGGTTCCCAAAGGTCTTTGCCTGGGGGAAAGGCCCTAGGATGCTAAATTATCACCCCCAGATCTTCGTATTTGACTGGTGCTTGTAACTATAGGGGGGTGAGAAACCTTGAGAAAGCAGTAGAGAGCTACAGACTGCCCAGTGTTCTAAACGGGTATGAGGGCCGCAAGACAGTTTCCACATATTCTTTGGCTCCAGAAACTCAGAAACGAGCTTTTGGCTTCTTCGCAGGATCTTAGGCACCTAAAGTGTGTGTCAGTGAAGAACTTACTCTTGAAAGGTAAACACTGCCTACTGCCCATGCCCACTTTGACTTCCTTCTGAGGACTTCCCCAGGAGGGACAGGGGTCCGCTGGACACAACTCTCTCAGATGCCAGTGGACACGATATTAAAAGTTTAGGGATTGAGGAATTAAAGTCAAATCTTGATAATATGTTTGTCCCACTGACCAAGAGAGAAATGGGAAGAGGATTGCGGGTCCTGGAGGGTGGGATAGGGATGGGCGCTCTAAGAATGATATTGGAAGCCCAGCCGTGAAAGAACTCCCAGAGGCAGCAACAAACCCAGGCGTGTTCCCTGTAGCTCCTGGCGTGCTGATAACTGTTTCCTTATTTACGCTTCCAAGCACCCCTGGGGTCTTTTTGTGAGTCAGGTTTAGCTTCTGTAAATCCTCCTGCGGAGTACCGAAGCAGGCTCGAAGCCCTCCGAGCACCAACCCCAGGAGCCCTGCTCCTTGCCCTGAGATCAACTAGGGTCCCTTGGCCAGTTGCCCACTCACATCAGGGAGAGGTCGCGCTCCCTGCAGAACCCGGAGCAGCACCACGCCGCACACACCCCTCCACCTCCCGCTGGGAGCCGAGGATGGCAGTGCAGCTACTCCGGGCGGGTAAATGGTAGGGGGGCTCCGAGAAAGGGGTGGAGCGGGGGCCGGGGGGCGGGGCTGAGGGGTGCTGGGCGGGGTGCGCCACAGCGCCCCCTCGCTGCGCGCTCCCTGCGGTGCCCCAGGCAGCCCGTGCTCCGACTCTCCAGCCCCTTTGTGTGATTTTTATCCATCTCCACAGCACCCACCGCGGACGCTGCCCGGGGTCCCGCCACTACTGCTCGGGCAGCGCGCTCCTCCTCCGCACCCTGCGCTCCTCTCTCGCTCGGTCCCCGGTCCCCCAGCAGCCGCCTTTGGGCCGCGTCCCGCCGCTGTCGGCACCCCGCTCGCCCCGGGGCGCTAGTCTCCTCAGGCCCCGATCTTCTCCTCGGTTCCACCCCCCCCCGACTCCCCCATCCCAGGCCTTTAACGTGGAGAAAAAACTAAAAGCAGAACAAGGCAGAGTCTCCAATAAAACGCCCAGTACCTCGAGCCCGAGCGCGAGTGCCGGGCGGCGAGGGGCGCGGGAGGCGGGGATGGGGCGGCGGGCGGGGGGGACAATGAGCGCGTGAAGTTACCTGCCCGGCAGCGGCGGGGCCGAGAGCGCCGGGGCCCCGCGGACCAGGCAGGCTGCGCGCTCGGCGTGGACGGGTGCGCGCCGCGGCTTCGGGGGGAGAGTTGAGCGCTCTTCCACCCTCTATTTTTTTTTCCTCTTTTTTTTCTTTTTTTTTTTTTCTCCTCTTCTTAAACAAACCACAAACGGATGTGAGGGAAGGAAGGTGTTTCTTTTACTCCTGAGCCCAGACGCCTCTCTCTGTTCCGTCTAAGCTTGTTTTTTTGCTGAGCACTTTTTTTTTTTTTTTCAAAAAGGAAAAGAAAAGGAGTTGCTTGATGTGAGAGTGAAATGGACGTAAGATTTTATCCACCTCCAGCCCAGCCCGCTGCTGCTCCCGCCGCTCCCTGTCTGGGACCTTCTCCCTGCCTGGACCCCTACTATTGCAACAAGGTGAACGCTCTGCTTTTGTCTGCACCGGTTCTGGCGGCTCTATCCCGGGAGGGGGGCGGCGGTGGCCTGGCCGCGCTGGGGCCGGCCGGGCGGACTGGGCCGGCTCGCGGAGGCCCGTCCCGGGCGCGTTCGGTCGCAGCCCGCGGCGGGCGGCGCTGCGTGCGCTCGGGTAGTAAATATTGTGGAGCAGCTCAGGGGGTTTGCCAAACAACGCGATTGTGCGGAAAGTGACACGATTTGCTCGGATTCTTTCCTTCCTGCTGTTCGCCACTAAGGATCCCTGCTTAGGTTTTCCGGGAGACATTAAAAAAGAGCGAGCGAGCGATTAAGAGAGAAAACACACGGAATACTTTGGGGGTGTGTCCGGGGTCCGGGAACTGAGGCAGAGTAGGAGAATTCATTTTATTTTTTAGTTCCTTCTTCTCCCTCCCTTTCTTGGACAGCCGGGGCTCGTGGCATCGCTTCCCAGCTCCGGATCACTTGCAAGAGGAGCAGCCAGGAGTTGGGGTACCAGGACCCCTGAGGCTCTGGCGTTCCTGAAAATTATTCTATAACTCTTTTGTTTTCTTTTCCGGCAACAGAGCCGGAGTTCCGACGCTGGCCCTTGTGGCCCAGGGCTCAGTGGGCTAGTCGAATTATGCTTTGGGGGAAAAGCTCCCGTTTGGGGTGCGTGGAAATAGCAAGTTCACTGGAAGCCAAGGTAGCGCTTCGCGTTCAAGTGTAAAGCTCCGACACTGGTCCCCAGGCTGTAGTTGTACACCATAGTTGGCTGACCACCCAGTGAAAGGGCCACCCGGGACAGGAGAAAGGCATTTCATGCTGATGACCCAGAATGAGGACACTGGCAGAAGCTGGTCCGGAGCTCAGCTTGGCCCAAGGATAGGACAGTCAGAGGTTTCTAGGGAAGTCTTTACTCTCCTGGCTTCAAGCAAGCAAAACCCTAGAGGAACACCAAGGGCTCGCTCCTAGGAGCAGCCATAGACCACAGCTGTCCTTGCCTGGGTCTTGTTGGAGGCATCTAAGTAGTCCTGGCCTATAGAGGTTGGTGGGGAGAGTTCTCTGAAAAACGTGGCGGGCCTTCGGGGCTTCCAGTTCTGGCTTGATGATAAATCCCCAGATTCTCCCAGTCCCTTCAGGCACTACTCATCGACCTGTAGGTGAATTCCACCCGAAGAGTCTTTTGGACTCCCAACATTTGTTTCCTGGGGAGCCATCACTTTTACATGTGATGTAGAGGTGTTTAGTGGGCTACACCCCCAGCCCCTGGGCTCCCTAACATGAGACAGGCTAGTAGTTCTCAGCCCTCAGATTTGGTCATTACACACACACACACACACACACACACACACACACACGGACGGAGGGAGGGGGGGAAGGAGGGAGGGAAGGAGGGGGAGAAAAGGAGGGGAGAACCCTGAGAGTTATGAGTTATGCAGGCATTACCCCGTGGAGAAACAACTGGAAGCCTTGTCCACTTTAATACTCAGGAAAAGAGGTGTGTGCAAGAGGATTAGGAGTTAGGGAAGCGGGTAAAATAGAAAGACTCACACACAGGGAGCCCTTGAGCCAGAGACAAGTTGAAAGGTCCCTGGAACTTCAGTAAGCGGAGGCGTTTGTGCCAAGGAGTTTCACTATTTGCTGGTGACACCGTTCTTGCAGCCTCTAATCTGTTCTGAGTTTAAAACCCAGGGTTTTGTGCCGGTTACCTTTTATTTTGCTTTATAACAAGAGTATGATTGCTTTTTTTCTTTAAAGTAGCAGGTCTATCTTGGAGATCAAAAGACCTGTTGTGTTGTTGCCACCAGAATCAAAAAAATCAGCCCCGTTTTTGGCAGTAAAGCTACACAAGTCTGATTGCATTTATCAGTGAGTTTAGGCTTCCCAAAAAGAAGGTAATGACTTGAATACACATTTCACTCGTCATTCTTGTGAAAGTAGGGTCACATTTAATTTAAAAGTTAAATGCTTTGGAAAAATCAGGAATTACTTCAATATATTAAATCATTTTCCAATTAAGTGCCTTAAATAATTTTAGAGGGTTGCGCTGTGAACTGAATAAATTAATTTTGAAAGTCTTCACCAGTTCTTTGCTCGCTCATTGAAGTTCCTTTTAAGTCACCCTGTGTGGAAGAAGCAAACTGTTCTTTTTAAATGCAAATTAGCCATCCTTTCTATAGACTAGTTGCAAGTCTTCTATTTAACTTACCCAGGGAAGAATGGATTTTTAAAAATGCAAAGTCATAAGACTTGTTTCTTCCAGTAGAGAAAGACCTCCTGGATCTGTTTCTCCAGGGACTCTCCTGCCCATCCCCGTGTCACAGTCTATCAAATATGTTTGTCTCCTATCCTTGATTGTATAAAATGTACTGAGAAGGTTTCCAGATCCCACAGAAGCCCAGGCAGGCACTTGGTTCCTACTCCATCGCGATTGGCATTGGTATAAAATTCCTGCCTAGATCCACTATTTGAATTGCTTGGGACTGAGTCAATTAGTGCTCCTTTTTGCAGCGCTGTGTGGAGATGTGGAAGAAGAGGGGAGAAGTTTGGGAAGGTGGAAAAAAGAAATCCGTGTCTGGGTTCAGCAAAACCTAAGTTGGGTCAGAGAGACAAGATTACGAAGTCAATCTGTCCTCCTTCTGAGATGTAGTGAAATATAGTTCATTAGAAATAACAGTCACTTTGCTGGGCTATTTGTTTTTAACAGGTTGATCAGATCATAAATTGCTAATTATCTTTATTTTAAACCTGTCAGCGCTGTACTGTTTAAAGTTGGTGTGCTAAGTCCCGGTGGAACTATAACTTTCTGTGTCCTGGTGTCTTGCAACTGTAAATATAGTTTTCCAGTGGCATTTTGTTTTTCAACGTCAGAAGAGACCCTAATTGAGAAAATGAATATCCTCTTTCTGAGCTTTTCTGAATTGAAATGTGGTTGTTTTACTTCGCTGACACTTCCCAGCCCCACGGCTCTGTGCATTGCCAAAACACTATTTAGATTTTTCAGTTAATAAACTCTGTAGGAGGCACATTAGGAAGCAGTTTAACCCGGCGCTCTTTTGTGAGAGCCCGGTGCATGATGAACACATCACAGTGCAAACTGGCCTTCACTTCCACGTAGCCCACTGGGGGAACAAGGCAAATGGAGTCGGTTATAGCCAGAGAGCAAGCGAGGTATCCCTTCCTGTAGGCAAACTGCTACAACTAGGGGCATGGTGCACACGCTATCCTCTATCTATGTAGGTCAGCTTTTGAAAGAACGATGGAGCCCAGCGACTGGCCAAAAGCATGTATGCTAGAGGAAACAGCCTACACTTCCTGCAACTGAAGCCTTAGTTCTATTGTAGACATTGAGAGATGTGTACCAGAGCAGAGTTTCATCTAATTAGACTATTTTAAGTAACGGCGTATTCCTTAATTGAACTGAATGTTACCAAAAGAAATTAGATTAAATGAGCTCCCAATTGGAGTTCGGTAGCAAAATATAGTCCTATTTTTTTTGCTCTAGTTGAAGATGTCAAATCATCAGTTTGAACGTATACCTACAGAGCAATGACAGCTTACTGTTTCTTAGTGCGATGTCATTTCTAAAGACTGTTTTCACTGATTTCATGCTAAAATGGGACAAAGACATGGCACTTGTTTCATTTTTGCAGTGATGTGGTGTGTTCTGTTATTGCTCAGTATCTGCCCACACATAAGGAGCAGTAATACAATTATGTTATGGCTTGGCTAATGCCAGGGATACTGACCTCGGCCAGCAGTCGGGGGCGGGGGGAGAATCATAGGGTTTACAGTCCACAGAAGCTGCTTTTATGGGCTCATTCCTGAGTCTTCCATTGGTGGATTTAAAAACCGGGAGCCCTACACGTAAACTCTGGCTTAATACTAGTTACCTACAAAGTCAAGAGCGGTCGTTATTTGGAATTCTGGGCTTTTGATTGCAATGAAAATGGAACGTGAATACTCTTTCCATGTAAACTCGAGAGGAAAGATCGTTTGTGGACAGATATTACAGCTGTGATAACTTTTGAGTAAAGCAATATTAATCATAGTGTCTGTGGGATCTTCTTTGAATTTATTTCCCTTATTATATTGTAGTATGCATTGTTCTTTAATGTGGCAGACCGCGTCATGCCTAAAATACAGGACTTGCAAGCACACTGAGATGGAGCCATTATTCCTCTTTTGATGAAAAATGTAAGAAGAAGAGGAAGCCGGAAGGAGGGGAAACAGGAGGGAGGAAGATGGAAGGGGAAGACGGGGACTGTGTAGGCAAGTTAGAGTGTCATAATTCATTAATTTTGTCTAACCTGCTAGAACTTCTATTGATTATCTCTCTGTCTATCTATCTATCTATCTATCTATCTATCTATCTATCTATCTATCTATCTTGATACTCTGTACATCATTTGTTTAATCAAAACTTCCTTGGGAGTTGTATGGGCTGGAACCTTATATAAGATGGATGATGAACTTATTTATTTAGACAAGAAAGCATAAAGCAAAAAAAATCATATAATTTGGGACACTAAATATGAAAGCATAAAAAACCTTTAATTGTAGTTATTTTGACTTTGTGAGATGTTTTAACGTCACCAATCCAGTTTTGTTTTTTTTTTCCAATCCCAGTTTTTAAGTGTGCCAAAAATTACACTTATGAGGTCTGCAGATATAGTATTTTTAACACAGCATATGTGGCCTAGTATTCTGAAATTTTATTGTATATTTTGACAGTTACTGGATGATAATACTAAGGAGACTTGATAGTTTGCTTGGGTATAAAATCTAGAGTAATATTTAATATCTACTTGAATATGTAGTGTAGGGCTGAAATTATCTTTGTGATGTGCTTGCAAAGAGGTTAAGAACAAGATAGCAGTAAAAATAAAATTGAAACAAGAGGAAGTAAGGAAGTTGATGCTGCTTTGGTGTATGGGCTATTTGTGGTCTTTCCACAGTATTTTGTACATGTGATGGGTTCGGTTCAGTAGGGATAGCCTAGG